TTATCTGTGTAAAAACATTTCTGCAGTCCTTTCATTTCAACCACAGGTCGCTTTCAAACACCAAGGGACAGCCTACCTCACACAGACTTTTTAAACACAACTCACACATTTTTTAGGTAGCATACCTACCATGTCCAGCATTCCCACAAACTCGTCTACCCTGATCAATAAATCTTCAAGGCTCTTGTCCAAAGTCCCGATCTGCAAAAAAAACACAAAAAAAAGTAACGCAAAATAATAAAGCATTCGAAATCGAAGCAAAACTGGGAGGGGACGACACCCCAGACCTCCGAATAAATTTAATTTGTTTAATTTAGTTTAAGCTTTATTATCATTGCGCCTCTTACAACGAAATTAAATGCCATCTTCAGTGTACATTATAACTATAAAAATAAAACACGAACACACGCCCTTCACATTCTATACAATTGCATTGAAAACCTGATATTGATTGCAGTCAATCAACCGGGGAAACGTGTGTGTGTGAGAGAGAGAGAGAGGAAAAAGGCAGCAGCAACCTTCGAAGGCCACCTGAAGCCACTTCCCGCCGGCCTCTGCTTTGGCTCGCCTGGGATTCAAAACAATTTGCTACGAAGCTGACCCACTGTTGGTGAAAACCGTTACTGCGCCTACAAGACCGCAGTACCGGAATGCCTCCGAGAATGACCGGGGGGTTGTGGGGCGGGGGGAAGTTTCCCTCAGGACCGCCGTTTGAAGGACGAGGCTAGGCGGGGGGAGAGGGACGAAAAAAGCGCGGGGCGCCTCCCGTCCGTTCACTCGCCTGCCCGGCTGAGGCGACGTTCTCGAGCGGCGAAGGGAGCAGGTAAGAGGCGTAGTCAGCCGCCGCCGCGGCCAGTAGAAACTCTCCGCGCGAGGCATAGCCCGGCGCCGCGTGCTCGTCGCCGATGCCGGAGGCGCTGCTTTGACTCTGCGAGACGTGGCCGCTGTCACCGCTCGAGGAAGTCGAGGTGGAGTGAGGGAGCGGCGGTTGCTCCTCAGGGACTGGGGCACAAGGGGCTCCAGCCGCCTGCGCCATCTCCCGCCCGTTTTCCGGGCCCCTCGCCCAGCCCGGAATCGGCCGTCTGTCACCTGATTCAGGGCGGTTTAAATCGGAGGCCTTTCGAAATGACAGTTTAATTGTTGCCCCCCCTCCCCTCCCCTCCCCTCCCCTACGGAAGCTCAACGAGGACAATGTGAGCGACTGGGGCTGCTAGCTCGCGTTTTTCATTCACGTTCTACTTCAAAGGGTGGAGCCAAAGCGAGTGTTTTGAGGTGAAGCACGTGCTTAGGTCACGTGGGAGAGATCCCGCCTCAAGGCTTCGCTCCTGGGAGTGGTGGTGTTTTTTTGTTTTTGCTTGCCCATGTTCGCCCCCCCCCCCCACCCCAATTCAGTTTATAGTGAGTTCTCCAACCTTGGCAACTTTAAGACTTGTGGACTTCAACCCCCACAATTCCTCAGCCAAAGAAATTGTGGGAGTTGAAGTCCACAAGTCTTAAAGTTGCCAAGATTGGAGAACCCTGGTTTATGCTGGCTGAGGAACTCTGGGAGTTGAAGTCCACAAGTCTTAAAGTGGACAAGGTTGGAGACCCTTGGTTTATACTATAGGGCCGTTTTTTGCAATCTCAGCGACTTGAACATATGTGGTGGACTTCAACTCCCAGAATTCTCTGCTGGCTACAACGGTAACAGTTGCCATCTGAGTAAACACTGTTGGTAGAGGGAAATAAAGGAGGTTTTTCTATCTTTCCTTCCTGTCTTGACTTCTCAGAAGTGTTGTACGTGTACGAATCTGTTGAGAGATGACAACGGTTATTTAAACTTGATTTACCCCAGTATTTTATAGCCTGTTGTTTTGTTTCTGCGAGAGACAGCAGGACTAGGCTGATGTTGAGATGGCTTGCTCAGAATTTGGATCCCCAAACTATAGCCCATGTGGGGGAATTTTTAAAAGTCTCCGGAGAAGTCAGTAGACTTTGCAATTACTAGTTTTTAAAACCTTTCATTTTTCATTAATTACTTGAGATGGTGCTGTGCTTGTTAGGTACAAAACTAGGTGGGATAGCCAACATGTTGGAAGAATTATCCTTCTGGGTTCAGTTCCAAGTGGGGAAGAAAGACACTGGAAACATGGTGACTGCTTGGAAAGATGGTTTAATGGGATCACATGCCTTGGGTGAAGAAAGAAGGAAGGGCCGAGATGCTGAAAGTGCCTGGGTTTTATACCCTCTGTTGGGATTTGATGCAGGGGCTACTCTGTAGGCTGTCCTGAGTCCCAGGCTTGGTTGAGACTTGCTGGATGATGATGTAATGAAAGGGCTTTGGGTAATTCCTATAGCTCTACCTGGAGATCTTTGTTATGTAAAATTGGCTGGCCTAGGCCAAAGTAATGGCCCATTAGCAAAGGTGGGGGGGATTGAGTTTCTGCTTCTGAGTTTCAACTCTTTTTAGGGGAAATATTCTGCCTTTTTTAGTATATCCTAAAATATTTCATTTTCCTAGGAGAGGAGTGGGTTTTAACTTCAAAGAAACACTTTCAACAAAATCGGAACTACCAGTAATTATGAGAAATGGCTTGATAGTACAATGAAATCAATCAAAACTTACGGAAAATTGATGAATTTAAAGCACTAAAATGAATTGTTCAAATATAGTGTACTGAAATACTGTACCATAGAGATGCCAATAAGCAAAGTGCTTTAGAAAATATTCCCTAGTTGACCAAGACCTCTACTATTAAAATATGGAGTTAGATCAACACTCTGGTCATTACCAAGTCAGAAGGCTAAAAAAATGAGGGAAGATTCACTGAAATATGGCAAAACAACAGAATAAGAATCAGTGATGGTTCTAAGTAACATATGCGAGCAAGCATAGTGGCCAACTGATCGGAAGAAGTCAATCTATGTTCCACTACCAAAAAAGAGAGTTAATATATTAAGAGTGTGTAAATTATCATACAATATCCTTAATTTCATATGCTAGCAAAAAAAAAAAAAGGCTTAGGATCATCCAACATAGAGTCCTATATGGAAAAAGACTTGCCAGATGTTCAAGCTGGCTTTAGAAAATGCTGAGGAACAAGATACATTATTGTTGGATAATTGAGAAAGCTAAAGAATACCAAAAATAAATTGATATGTGTTCCATTAATTATAGAAAGGCTTTTATTTATGTTGATCATGTCAGTTGTAGAATGTGATAAAAAATACAATTCTAGAAAGATACTGATTTCATGAGAAACACAAGGACATTGTCTTTGTGAAAACACACACACACATAGACAAAGGCTCTAATGCTGGGAAAGATAGAAGAAAAAGAATGACCAACAAAAGAGATGGATTCAGGAACAGTGGCAATAAATCTACCAATGGAAGACCTGAAAGGCCAGGTAGGGGACATATTGTCATGAAGAAAATCTATATAGTTACTAAGAATTGACACCAATTTGATAAGCAAAATAAACAAATGGTCTGTTATAAAACTGTTGAAAGTTCTGTATTAATCCTTTGGCTTTTAAAATGTGATTTAAACTTCATTGTCTAATAAATTTATTGCTTTGAATTCCCTGGACTACATTTTGAAGACACGTGACTGCAAAAAGTTGCTTTCAGAGTAATGTTGTTTGTGCATGTATAAATGGCTCATCGGACTGAAAATCCTTTGAAAGTGGTGTCTTGACATGCACAAGAATGCTATGAAGCATCTGTTTTCAATCATTTAAGGAGCTGTTTTTCCCAGGCATGGATGACTGCTTTACTTTTGCTAGTAAAACGACTGTGCATGCACTGATTGATGTGAAAATAATTGGCAGCAAATTCCAAAGCAGCCATGTGAGCTTGGAAGAAGTACAGCTTCTTTAATCCCTCTGGGTGAAAATGTAATGAAGTATATTTCTGTCATTTTTGTAGCACATTGATAAATATCTACAGTAGCTGTGAAAATATGCTTGGATGCTCTGTTAACAGTTCATGGTGTTTACAATTTAAATAAAAACAAATGTAAATAGAGACTTTGTAAAACTTTCATTTGTATTCAGAAATATCAAGTACCCAAATTTTTGAATGGGTAGGAAGCATATAAATCTTGCATCTGAGGTTGGATGACTGCTTATACATCATATATCATTCAAAAATAAGATTAAAAATAAAAGGGAAAATGAAAGATAAAATAGGAGCCAGGGTGGTGCAATGGTTAGAATGCAATACTGCAGGCTACGGCAGTTCAAATCTCACCAGGCTCAAGGTTGAATCAGCCTTCCATCCTTCTAAGGTCGGTAAAATGAATACCCAAATTGTTGGGAGCAATATGCTGACTCTGTAAACCGTTTAGAGAGGGCTGTAAAGCCCTGTGAAGTGGTATATAACTCTAAGTGTTATTTTTATTGCTGTATATGGACATAGATGGTTAGATTCCCCCTTTACTACTTTTTACAGAGAAATACAAAAGAAATAGGAACTAAATTCTACAATATCACAGAAGACAAGAGTTATGTTAACATGATTGGCAGAAATATTGGGAAAATAGTGAAAGACGTAAGAGTTTGTTTAATCTTTTAAAGCAAAAGATAGGGCAATTATTCCAATTATTAGAGATGAAAGATTAAATATGTAAAACTTCAAAGGATATATATATATATATACATTGTCAATTTTTAAAATTCTATTCAGGGTGTACAGTATTGCAAACCAGGTAATATATTGGTTGAGAATATAGAGGCTTTTCTAAATAATATAAATCTATCACACTTAGATGATACACAAAAACAACTTTGCTCCACTATCTAAGATTAAACAAAGAATTTTAAAAATGGCAGGTGGTAAAACACCAGGAGGAATTGGGGTGGTATAAAACATGTATAGATCTTTTGGTGTCAAAACTTTTGTCAATTGTATGATGAGATAGCTGATAAAAGAACATATCAGTGGCATTTAATTAAGTTTATATTGCAATTATACCAAAATCAATAAAAGCTCATACTCAGTATGCTGATTATCACCCAATCTCATTGATTGTTGGTACAAATATCTTAACAGTATTGTTAGCAAATACATTATAGCAATTGATACCATTATTTAGAATGATCAAGTAGGGTTTATAAAAACTAGGCAAACAGAAATATTAAGCTAGCTGTAGATATAACAGACTTGAATAAAAATCAAGACAAGTTTGCAATCTCATTAAAATCTAAAAAGCTTTTGACAAAATATATACACAGTGCTGTATTAAAAAGGGTTGGATTTTGAATTTCATAAAATAGATCAAGATATTATATGAGGTACCCAAATATAATGTATGTAAGGGCTAATGTATGTTTTCTGTTTCTTTCCCATTGTTTAGAGGAACTAGACTAGAATGTCCATTTTCATCTTTGCTTTTTGATATTTATATGGAGCACTTGATTTGGTGTATAATATTAGACAACATAGGCAGATTTATGGAGTAGTGTGTAATTAAGTCAAATTTAAATTGGTTTCATTTCCAGATGACATTTTTATTCCGAAACCTTACACTTTATTCCAGAGCTGATGCAAATGAAAGGTTCCTTTAGTAAAACAGCATGAAATTCCAAGTGGTCCAAATAGGAATTGATGCTTCCAGGTGAAAATTTGCTTACCCATTCATTTAAAGAATCTCAAGTCTGTATTTGCATCAAGCCCTTTAAATATTTAGGCATGTATTTATAAAGAGGTATCTTCAGATATAGATAGGTAGAAGTTGTTAAATCTTGCCCTTTGGGGAAAGGTGGATGCTCTCAAACATTATTCCCAGATTAATTTATATTGTGTGGGGAATTCCTCCTTAAATATATGGAAAAAATATTCAGAAAATAAACGTTTTGCTTAGAAAATTTTAGAGGGTTCTTCGATTCAGAGTATATTACAAATGCAATTTCCAATTAAGGTAGGAGGATTTGATTATCTAGATCTGGAGCTGTATCAAGCTTACCTACCGTCAAATATTAGATACTGGAAGCCAACAATTGGTATTAATTTTCCAATCTGGACAATTTTGGAATATGTACAGTATTTGTAGCATGTTTGATTATTGCACATAACTGCAATATTTTCAGCTACAACCTCTGTTAATTGTTTGGACCAGAAGCATTTTCAGCTTCTGAGACATGAGAAATATAACTGGTTACTGTTGTAATGACATTATTTTCTTTCTTTTTTTCAGTTGTATTTTGTTTCACTTATTTTTAAGCACTTGTTATGTATTTTTGATAATGTATGAATGTTTGTATTTTGTTCCCTTTTGTCATTCTAAAAGCAGCAAAAATTAATAATAATTTGAATAAAAACAAGATCAGAGCTGACCCATAGTATCACTGAAAATTGGTCACAATTGGAGAGCATCATCAGACTGAAAACAATCTCACTGATGGGATTTTCAAAATCTGACCGTTCTACTCCTCTCTTATAGACCAGCCCATCTGGTTTGAATTAACAGGGTATATGAAACAGGAGATGAATTCCCTATTCATTTTCCTGTTCCTCTGTGAATGCCCTGATTTTCTCAGGTTGTCAACTTCTTAACAGATTTACAGTGTGCATGAGGATCAAGGAAAAAAAGAAAGGATACATAGTGGCTATTGGATACAAACGAATATTTTTTTTATTTTTCTTTTGTTTAATAATATATATTGAAATCTTGTTTGCAAAAAACAACAACCCACCTATATTGTAACCCCCCCAAATAACAGTTTTAAAAAGTGAAGATCTCCCACAACAAATAAATACTCAAGTTATATTTAATTCCTGACAACTATGTGTCAAAACAATATAGCCTTTCATCTCAAACGACCAGGAATGTTCCATGGACATCAACATAATAATTTATAGTGAGTAATTTTAGTTGAACAACTGGTCAGGCATTGCTGCTAGAACTTATATCACTGAAGCCTCCACTCCAGTTCAGGTTGAGTCATTAAGAATTTCAAAATTTAGCTCCCCGTTTCTGGAATTTCTTAACTGCAGCTATGAAATTGGAATTCTGAAATGCAACAGATGGTAATTGTATTCAGCTCAGCAATGTGAATTTTATTCCAAGTATGATAATAAATTACTTTATATTAAAACTTCAGGTCTGAAAGTTACCTGTAAGGTAAACAAAAGCTAGACTCTAAATTAAATAAACCAAGCCCATTCCTTTGGAAACACTTTAATACACAATCATATACAGTAAATAACAAAAAAAAGCTAAAAGTAGAAAAATACACTGTAAAACAATTTATATTTTGTTTCTAGGCATCTCAGGAATATATTCATATTTTCTCTATAAACCATTTGAACAATTTGTGGCATTTCAGAATAGAAAAGCAGAGCTGAGAGCAAGACTCTTTTAGGCTTGTCTGTTATGTCTTACAATGCTGCTGGTATTTTAGATTTCTGAGGATAGGTAGCTCAACAAGGTTTAGAAAACAAGTAATATAGGTTTCCCCCCAAAATAATATTTCAATTATTAAAGACTCAGTGAATTCATTTTAATTCTAAATCATTAGAGAAATTTAGTGGAATTGTTTATGTTACTTTAGAACATAGATGTAATATGATTCTAAGTTCTAGTTATTCAGTACTGTTAGCAAATCAGAAGGTGAAATCAATGGTCACAAAAATGGGAGTATCTGTCTAATAAATATTTTAACAATAAAAATATAATGCACATCCCATATTATTGTGGTGCATTAATAAACTAGCATTCATGCTGCAACTTTTTCAAATAAACAGAAAACTCAAGTTTATGCAGTTCATCAATGACCAGCAGGGGGTGATGATTTAAAAATTATTCCAGCAATTCCTCACCCATGTAAGATTTTATACATACAGTACAGACATATACAAACACAAAGTCATTTGGTCAACATTTCATTCCCAAAGGAGAGGGAGGGAAGGAATAAATGCAGCATGCCCTCAACTATGGTCAAGATAGAAAGTCATTCTTTAAAGGCAGCTTTTCCAGATTTAGGTGCAATAGTCAATTTTTTTGTGTAAAAAAAGCTAGGAAACAATTACCTAGTGGCAGAAAATAAGTTTTTGGAAGATAACCTAACTGTTATCCTCTGAGATTAATTGATGAAGCAGAAATCATATTTACAATTTTCATGGGTTAAACAAGACAATATTTTTATGTCTAATCACAAAAATTGTCCTTCCTGGAAAGTAACACATCTCGCACATCAGAACATTTATGAGAGTGATGGTTCTCGCTCTTCTGCATGTAGATTGAATTGTTCCAGTAGGCACTTCCAGAAAGAAAGAAAACTCAAAAAGCATCCATTAAAGTGTTATCACAGTTCCATCCTCTTCAATGCCTCCTTTGGGAATAACTAAACTATGACGAGGATCAGTTTTTAAGGAACTAAGAATTTTGTGAATATTGCCATTGCTTTCTCGTCCAAAGCTGTTGTTGAATACTAGGTCTCTCTGTAGTCTGTGGCTAAGATTGTTGCCATTGATTCGGGAAAGGCTACTGGAAGGAAGACTGTGAGATTTTGGAATGGGCTGTGGTTCCAGGCAGCCTTCAATTACGATGTCAGCATCTTCGTCACTCTCCATTTCGTCGGGGTGGAAGTTCTGCAGGACATGAGAAGAAGGCAAACTGTGATGGCTGGCAGTGCTATCTGTAGACTGACCAGAGCTCCCAGACATCCGACTGCTTCTGATAATATTGTTCCTTTGGTTTGCTGGCTTGACTGTGATGATAAGATTATGGCTATTGGCAATCATCATATCTGTCACCTGATCAAGGGTTTTTCCTGCCACTTCTATCCCATTTACTTCCAAGACTTCATCATTGACAGCAAGCAAGCCTGTACTTTCGGCTAACCCCCCAGGAACCATCCGTGAGATGAAAATGCCAGGAACTTTTTCCAACCCGTGGGGAGTCACTCTTACACTGGTGCCATCGCGAATATAAAATCCAAGCGGTTTCTCACACCCGTGGCGATACAGTCGCACTCTTCTATGAGTTTCAGGCAGGATATCCACATCAATGATGGAAGACACTGGTCTGAAGTCCTGAGGCATGCTGATATTAACATGAGGACGCCGGCGAAGGTTGTCATTCCGGAGGGTCACCAGAACCTTCTTTTTCCTTGTTAAGGTGTTTGAACCAAAATTTCCAAAATCCGCTTCATCTGCAAAGTGAGAGAGAGAAATGAATCATCATCATCATCATCATCATGTTTTAATGACCCCCATAATCCCTTTTGGGGTGGAGTCTGGATAACTGAATGGAGTTAGCAGAGTGTTTAATGGCCGGATGCCCTTCCTGTCACCAATGCAGAGTTTTGTTCAGTAGATATATTCTCATTGTACCAAGAGAGAAAAATTAACACCTCAGACTCAATCCTCTGCAGGCCATCTTCTGCAAGAAAAAGAGCCTTATCTCTAGCTTTCATAATACGCCAACATTTAAATATGGTTGAAACATTGCTGTGAGAGAGACTGTCAATTAAAGACAGTGTTACTAATAAACATGCATTTTGAAATATTGGAAGAAATGTCTAGACCCTAGACTGAACAAAGAAAAAAGCTGCCGGCTGGTGTTAGGATGAACATGAAGCAAGAGACCAAAACAATTAGTTTGATAACAAACATAATGTTCACTTGCTAGAAGAAACCCCCCAAATGAAATGTAATTTGTGACCACTATGAAGAGAAAGTTAGAAAGAACACCAACACATGTGTGTCTGGCAGTTTACCACTCCTTCCAAGTCATATATGAAGCAACTGGCTAAGACAACAAGATTATCTTTTAAAACACTGTAGGCAAGTAACCGATTAGCAGGACTAGACTGATTGCCTGCCAGTCATAATTGATTAATCAATAATATATGAATTTGCAAATTGCACCACAGCGCTATTGCTTTTAAGGTATTAGTATTTCATCTCTAAGAGCACAAAACCGTATTTCAAACCCATATGAAATCCTCAATGGCTTTGTTAGTTATAGATTATTCCAATAAACACTGTGTAACTTAAAATACATAAGCATTTTTGTAAGCATTTTGTAAGGGCCTATGTTAAAACTGTTGTAAGTTTAAGATATAAAATATGCATTGTAGGCAGACAAATGCATATTTTAAAAGAGTCCCAGCAACCTGATGTTTGTAAATATGGGAAAGATGTGTAACTGCTCCTGTCAAATATAGGAAGCATCCCTTATTCTATTGTCTTTAAGTAAACCTTCATTCAAGACAAAAATAACCCATTTATTTTCCATACCAGATCATCCTGCAGTTGCAGATGAGTAAGTCACCAAGAACTTTCAAAAAAGGCCTCAAACAGATCAACACTGAAGATGAATAAAGCAATGGTCGGGCCTGACATTTCAATTTAATAATACCACAATCTCAACAAAACAATGTTCATTCCATCCCCCACAAACTCCATGATGCAAAACTGAACCTCAAATGGGGGTTGGGGGGGAGGCTTCCTTTTGCCAACATTTTCTCGGAAGATAACCAGAGACAATTTAGGCCACCTGGAAGAAAATATTTCAATTTCCTCATGTTTAGAAGCAAGACTATTGGAGACTATAGAACAAAGAACCAGTGTCAGGAGACACAGGTGGGTTATTTTTGTAGGCACTTTATAAACACCAGGCAGAAAATCAATATGCACGATTACTTTAAAGACCTAAACATATAACTCATGATCTAGCACACCACAAGCAAGCTGTCAGGGCCAGAAACACTAACTACAGTTAATGCAGCTTTACATAAATTGTTTAAAAAGACCAACAAGAGACAGAAAGCATTTGTGCAAATGAAATGTCAGGTAAGCTATCTTTAACCAAACTAAAGGTGCAAAACTTATAGGCAACCCTATAAGGATGTTATAGGCAGACATCCTATTCCTGAGGATATTTTCCTCAGCATGTCCAAAAAGTCCTATACAGTTGTAATTTTTTTAGCATGACAGGCTGGGAAAATGTATTAAATGCATGATGTATGATCATATTAAATGTACAGTATGTAATATTTAACAATGTTTTAATTAAAATTTGGGTGGTCAACATTTTTTTAATGCAGCCCTAAATATTTCACTCAAAGGTTAAATTTGACTCTCAAGTTCATCTTTTGCACATTAAATAAGGAAAGAGGTGCTCATCATCAGTTACAAACTGTCTCTTTTAAACACACTGGACTTCAATACCCAGAATTCCTCAGCCAGCCATTCTGGTTTTCTGGCCTAGGCTATGAGACAGCAACCGGCATATTCAATTGTAAAGTGCAAGAGGCTGAATGCAGAAAATAGTCCAACACAACCTTCTCTCCTGACAAGAACAAAGCTGAGAAAGATGGTCCCCTCCCAGCCTCCCAGGAATCTGACATCAGAAATGTGTGCAGATCCCTGGCAAGTATGGCAGAGGTTTCCTGTTGCTGCACCTTCACTTCCTTGAGGCCAAAGCCAAGATGAATACCAGGACAAGTTAAAGCAACTTGCTCTGAAGGTGGGGCTGATGAATTGCTACTTGCTAAACTGCTGAGAGTTCGAGATCCAATTAAGCAACTGTGAGGTTAGGACACATCCATTTGTCTCCTGCATTGCTGATAATGTCCAGTGAGGGATGCTTCTCTTTTTGGAACAGAAACACTACTTATCATCTGAGCCTCCTGAATTAGATTTTGATGATATCTGAGATATTCTTTTAAACATGAAGAGGACAAAAAACAGTCAAATTAAAACAATCCGAAAATATTTGTGTAAGTTAAAGATATAGACGAGGTGATATAGACTGTTTACATCTCAATATCTGTCAAAGGTGGAGGGATAGGTGTAACATAAATGCCACCTTTATTTCCCTGGAACTTTTTGCACTGAACAGGGTTTCTAAGCTCATTCAGGGACCAGAGGGGTTTACTGCTGATCAGAGACAGCATGAGCTGGGGATTTACTGTATGTTTCTGAATCTATGCCCCCAGAAATTATGAGTAATAAATAAAAGTAATACAGAACCTTTTCACCCTGAGGATTTCTTTTTATTCCCATTTTGTATTCTATATTCTGATTATCCCACCAAATTGTTTTTCTTCTTTACTCCAATAAGGTCTGGAAAATAGTTGTGCAGGTATATCTTTAAAAACTTAAAAGTTTGTTGTAGTTCCTGAATGTTCTTTATCTGTTTCACTTTTCCCAGCCTGATGCTGTTGAGATCTACTGATCTACCATGTCTCCAACCCAATGCAAGAAAAGTGGCTTTAAGCACCATTTTCATTTTAAGTATGGCCTACTACATGTAAATGCCAAAACCTGTGACACGAATGTAAACTTTTACAGTCTGAAAGAAGGGGAGGAGAAAAATGGTGGGGGGGGGGGGGGAATTTCCAGAAGAGCTGACTTTTTAAAAACATGACATCCATGCGCACCCACACAGAGACAGACAGAGTTTTAATACCAGAAGCGCTGCTCTTGCTTGGACAGCTGCTTTTCACAGGAATTGCCTGCCAGACAAAATACCAAAGCTTGGCCAGATAAGAATAGGTAAACAAGCGAGATTCCATGGAGAAATCAGACTGCTAGGCTCATATAGGAAGAATTTGTTTTGGACCTGGAGTTTTCAGTCCACGCACACTCCTGGTAGATTATTTCCTCTGATAACGTTGCAGTGTTATCAATTGATAGATTGGAAACTATATCAGAAACAGAAGTACTTCCACCAGGAGACTAACTTTTATTTCATACAGCTTTAAAAATGAAACAAGTCTTTAAGGACTATGGGATGCCCTCCACGCCACATTGTCATTTCTTGAATGCAACAATCAAAATAAATAACAATACCTCTTATTCTGATCATGGTTCCATAGAGATCAGCACAATGTTTTTATACAACGATAACATTTGGCTGGGGAGCTGTTCCATCATTTCTCATAACATGATGGGAAAGTCAGAGATACAACAAATGTTTAAAGGAAACAGATATATAGTGAACTTTGACTTAGGCTGCTTCCTTTGGCCAGCAGAGATGTAAGCAAGAAAAGAACACAAAGTAGCATCTATCCAAGCCAATATATGCTGACCAAGTTTACCAAGAAGCTCTAAAAGAAACAGTTTTACAAAAACTTGACCCATACTGGAAACAAAACAAACAAACAAACAAACGTAGAAGCCTTTGGATTCTTGAGAAATTCCCCCCCCCCAAAAGAAAAATGACAAAAAAGTTGGGGGAGGGAGGAAAAGGGAGAAAACACATGGTCAACTCTCTCACAGATCAATCTCATAGCTAAGCTCCACTGAAATCATCAACAAATCCTAAACAAATGAATAAACTGACTTTAACCACAATAAACACCCAAATTTACAATTGCTGGTTCACTCACTATTAATCATAAGCATTTTCTGCTCTGGGCACATCTTCATTTTTTATGGTTTCCCATTTATCTTCACCCCACACCCCCAAGCTCCTAGAGTGCTTCCTCCCTTTTTGTACAGTCTTGATTTTTCTTCTCCTTAGTGTCTCACTGAAATCACCTTCGCTTAAATCTCATCGGAAATCTTTCTCTGCTAAAGTCCAAAGGCTCCAGCTGTGAGTTCAATTTCCTTGACTGTCTGCTGCCTTTGATCTTTGATTTTTGTGATCAATTCTGATACTTTCCACAGGAGGAAGCTTTCTCCACTCCTCACTACTTGTTCTTGGAGTCTCCATGGGATCTGTTCGTGGGCCCTTCCTTCCTTCCCACATATTAAATGTTAAGTGATGTACTGTATATACAGGTAACATCCAACTTTTCTTCCTAGACCTCCCATTCTCATATAACTCTGGATCTTCAATAGCCAACCTGCTCTCAAGTTCTATTACCTCTTCTATAACAATATTATAGACATAAACTCCTTCTGCTTCACCCTGTTGGCCAATCACAACTCCCTTCTGAACCAAATTCCAAGACCAGTGGTCGCCAACCAATGGGCCGGGGACCACTGGTGATCCATGAGAAAATGTTGGTGGTCTGCAGAGAAATGTCACCCCCAAAGCACCTCCCAAAGCAATTAATCCAGGCTGCGCGGGAACATAAGGCTGCACCGCCCACATAGCCTACGGAAACACAAGGCTTGCATCACTTGCATTGCGAACAACATGAAGTAGTGAGGGGAGGGGGTAAAGGGCAGAGGGAAGGAACTTGCCCCACGCGCC